GGGGCCCTGGTGCCCCTGGTGAGTGACCCCCCCACCCTGGCTGGCGGAGCCCCGCAGCCCGCTCCGCCCCGTGGAGAAGGCCACGGCGGCCTCCTGGCCCGGGCCTCGTGTCCGTCCCGGGCCGCGCTGCACGAACCGAGGCGCGTTTGGCTCCACCGGCCTCCCAGGAGCGGAATCACAGTTAAACTCGCTCCGGAAGCGGGAGCCCCGCGCTCCCCGCAGCGCTCCCGGGGGACCCGGCGGCCTCGGTGCTCGGCCCCAGCTTGTGGCCGCAGAGCGGGGATCAGAGGGCGGTGCGAGCCGCTCCCGGGACCCCTTTGTGGAAATGTCACCTGGCAGAGCCGAGTGGTGATGAGCTGGTCCTGCGTTAGCAGGCAGGCTTTCTTTCAGGGCGCACATCAAAGTGTGTGTTGGGTGATTTAAGTAGTGGGAATTCCTGAGGAACAGAAAGGCTTCTTTTTTTAAAAAAAAAATAATAAATCAGTTGTGGTTTTTTTTCTTCCTTTTGCATCCTTTGATAAGGGCGGTTGATAGCATTCCTCAGCACCCTAAGATCTAATATGAAAAAAAGCTTAAATACAACACCTGTAGGACAGAGAATATCATTTATGTTAGAAAAATATTTCATGAGAAACAGCTTTTTTGAAGGTGCAAATGTAACTTAATTGAAGGAGAGTCCCCAGCAATGCTTGATCCTTAGATGTGTGAGAACATTGAGTTAAAAGGCAGCAAAGTCCCTGCTGGGGGAATTACTGAGTGCCTTGCTAAAACTACTCAAGTTGTGATATCAGTGTTCACAAAGTGATGTGGGCATGTTGCTAGCATCTCAGAAAGGAGCTACAAAGGAGCTTCAAAAGTTTTGAAGTTGAGAAGACCTGCTATACAATAAGAGGTCTGTCTGACTTACTTGCAGAAAAGAAAGCTTAGCACATGAATTGCTAGAGACACAGATGTTTTCTGATGCTTTCTGATATTTGTGTTTGCACCATTATGCTGTGATCTCCTGTGCTCAAGGGATAACACATTACAGTTGAAAAATTTGGAAAAGCCAGAAGGCTCAGTTTATCCTAGGAATCTGCCATGGTTGCACAATGCATCCAAAACATGAAAAACTTCACAAGGAGGAAATCAAAGGTGGCTGATTTCAGCTGGAAGTGGAAGTCATTACCTCCATGGGAAGTCAAATGGTTTACCAGAAGACACGGTGAATTCCTTATTGCTTAATGTTTGTCAAAGCAGAGACTTACTGTTGTCATAGGTTTATGGAGGCTTGATGCAGGAATTGCTGTGCAAAATGCTGGATTGAAGGTATGTAGAACAGGGAAGTTACCGGGATAGTCCCCTGTGGAATCCAGTCTGATAGGATTGTAAAGATAGTAGTGAAGGAGGACCCTTCAGTTTTAGCACCAGTCACTTTGCTGGGCTGTTGTTTTGGGCACAGGAACTCTTCTCTGGAGAAACAGTGTTTATATATGTATGTATATATATATGTATATATATATATGTATTATTGAATGCTTGTTCTAGCTACTGTGATACTGCTTCAGTAAATAGCTGCTCTACTTTTTATTTATTTATTTAATCATATATTACATCCTTAAACTCAGGGAAGCTTTGTGGTATTTGTTGGACTGGTTCATGTTATGAGTGTCTTAACTTCTTTGGATTTTGTTTCATTTTTATTGCTAAATGTCCCGTAGATTGTTATTTTCTCTCTTAAGTGTTTGCCTTTATTAGAAAGGTATGTACTATTGTAGCTGTGTAGGCTGTTGGCATAGTAGGATTAATCTGTAGCAAAAATAATTACATTTTAGTTGTCCATTTTTTCCCTCCCCTGATTCCGAGGATGTTATATGAATATGGGTGATATCTGCACTACAGATATTTCTATAATGAAGTTTTAGTGGCTTTAAATTACACCTCTGTGCAGAAGTTGCTGTCTTCTCGCTCTCAAACTAATGAAGCAAATGAGTCATAGAAAAACAGATTTTTTTTCAGAAAAATGTAGGTGAAGGGGGGATGTTCAGGATTGGGAGGGAGATGGAACCATTGGTAGAAGATTCAAGAGGATTTCCTACTTGGATAGGGAAGGTGATGCATAAAAGCTAGGTAAATGTTTGCCAATTGTCATGTTTATATATTGTCATCAAGTTTTCGTCATTATTGTCATAATTGTCACTGTGGTATAACTTTCTTGAGAACTGATTGTATTTGGAAAATGCATGCCTGCACTGAGAAATCTGAATATGCCAGATCAGGTTCTTTGCTCTGATTTTTGTTAGTCTCTGTTAAGCACATGCTTAATTTCATGGGTGCTTTAATTTTGCCATGTGCAGATGGAACTTAGGAACCCAGCTTCAATACAGAATGAATTAGATGAGGAGCTTTGTCTCCCCTAATATAAAAAGCCTTAGTGTGTCATAAAAGTGAAATACCGTCTTCTGTTTCCAAGTTATTAAAAAAAAAAAATCCTTAGTTTAGTTTTGGATTTCTTTACCTAAATGTGGGTGTTAGCATGGTAGTGGACAATAGAGGAAATATTTTAATGCATCATGTGTTTGCAATTTGACTGATGGATGCAGGGTAAAAATGTAAGATATGCACTAAAGCAAAATGCCTAAAATATCTGAAGTAAAACATGTTTCCTGTTGAAAGCACAATGTGACAAATTCGGAAACCTTATGGAGTCATAAAATTTGTCTCTCTAAAGTAGGAAAGTATGACCAATACAGTGTAAAAGATGGTGCTTTCAGTAGGTATGTGTTTCAAGAATAGGCTTCTTAACTTACCCTTTTTAATCACTTCCATTGTGATTTCATAAGATTCAGATGGTACTTCCTGGAATCATGTAAACTTTACTTAATGATATCCATACCTAGCTGTTTGTATAATGAAATTACTTTAGATATGAGTGAGGAATATGGTTTAACTCAGACATTTCTTATTTTTTTTTAAGATCTCACATTCCAAGTTACCGGAAGCTTGGGAAGTGCATGAACTCAACTAGGGCAGAGTGAGGAAGAAAGGGGATACGTCTGTGTGATTCAAAGGAGTTGCTTACAGAGATGAGTAGTTCTGCTCCAGGGGCAAGCTGAGCACCTACTCTTTCTTTGCCTTTGCAGAGCTGGGAAGGAGGGAAGAGAATTTCTGGTGCTTTTTGATTGTCCAACTTCAGTAGCAAATGACTAAAGTTTCTCCACTATCTAGACTTCCTTTTACATACCTTCTCCTCTTCCCGAAGGCCCTTAGAAGATGCAGACAGCGTGCTGCTAGAAATAATGCCTTCCAGAAAAGTGTCCCATGATTATGGGAAAAAAAAATCAAAGGACTAAAATAAATGCAGAGTTTACCAGCTACTTGATAAGCAGTAGCTGTATTTTCTGACCTGCATTTTAAAATCTTTTAACTATCTTTTAAATGTTTAGTCTCATTCCTTCCCCACAGAGGTCCTAAGTAGATTTTTCCTCTTAGAGTCCAACTTAGGTTTTATCCAGCTACTTTTGGCAGCCTTTCCAGACTGTTATGTGTTAGTTCAACAAAGCTGTTTTCAGCTCCTTGCTGTAAGGTTCATTTGAGCCTCTCAAACATTTCCAGTCCCATCAAAACAAAAAATAAATCTTTATTCATCCAGCTGATAATTGTGGTGCTGACAAAGCTGATGAATGCTCCTGTTGAAGTGCTTGTTTCCTATGACTTTAAGCTTTTTCTGTATACAGTTGTTTGGTGGAGGCAGAAAGCCTACTGATTGACTTGGTTTGTAGCAGGGTTTGCAAAGGTAAATCAGTGTTTTAAACTCTAGATTTGTCATGAGAAATCAGTTCTGTGTCAATACTCTGCTGAAGTATCTCTGGTCATTAGAGAATCACTGTTCTCTGTGTGACTTCTCTGAAGATCTCTGGTGTTCTGACACACATGTAGTTTCTATGATTTTTTTCTTTTGATATGTGTCCATGTAAGTTTAAAGGCTCTCATATGTAAAATAATAACAGATGCACACATGTTTCTGTCAGAAGCTTGATATCTCTGTCACTGCTTGTGAAACATGTCTTCCCACTGCTCACAGTGTAGCCGACGTCCACCATTGCCACATATTTGGATGTTAAATGTTTGTATTGTGAACTCAAGCTATTTTGAAGCACTGTAGGAATGTTTTGTGGCTGCACAGGTAGAATCTACTGTAAGAGCACAGAGCTAAGAGGTGCCATCAGATGAAATTTCAGAGTTCTTGCTAGTTCTAGAGCTGGGTTACATTTCATCAACAAAGTTGAGGGTTTGTTTTTGGTCTTTGTTCTTTTTCAGATAGCAGATTTTCTTCATGGTAGTATATTGTGCTTTGGGAGAGTAACAAGGAATATTACTCTTCTTTTATGCCAAGTTCACACTTCCTACTGATATTTGTGATAACTTCCTTATCTATTGTTAGCTTTTTTTTTTTTTTTTTTTTTTTTTTTTTTTTTTAAAAGATATGTCTTTGTTTCTTGGCTCATTGCAGTTGCACTAATTTCTTTTGAAAGTCTTTCAGGCCTGCCAGTATGTTCAAATGTGCATTTTCCCATTACTTAATTATGCTTCTTTAAATTTCCAGTAACCAGCTTCCCTGATGTTCGAGTTCCTTCAAGATACTTTAACACTTATTTATTGAGTGTTTGTCAATGTTTATCTTATAGAATCCGGTGTCACTATTGGAACCCCTTTTTGCTCCCTTGAAGGAATTTCTTGTAGAGTTAGCATTCCATGCTGACAGTGCTACTTTGGAGGTTTTTTTGGATCAGTGACAGCTTGAAGAATTCTCGCTTTGTGCTCGAGCTAAGTCTCAGAACTGTTAGATATTCCCTGCAGAGAAACAGACTTGCAAAGGAAGCCGCTCATTCTTTCTAGAAGAGTTACTCATTAAAGCATAAATCTTTTCCTCTCCATCGCCCTCCCTCACTCTTCCACAGTTCTTCCCATAACTGAATACACAGTGTATAGCATGGTGGAAATATTGCATCATGCATATGTTCTTTTTTTTTTCCCCAGCTAAGCCTGAAGAACAGAAAATTGGGGAAAAAAAAGGTGTAAAGAACTGGTTGAAAACTGAAGGGGGTATCTCTGCTTTCACACTTATGTCTCCAGTATGAACAGGATCAATTTCAGCGTATTTGAGGATCGGCTAATGTATAATTTAGGCTCAATTTAATGTGCAGAGAAACTAGAAGACTAGAGATTAAGAGATGGAATTACACTTGTTATGAGAACATATATTGCCTTCTCACATGCATATACATATATAATTTTATTTAAGTAGTAACTTTTATCAAAAGGAAGAAAATATTTTGCCCACTCACGCAAGTTTGCTGTACTAAGCTGCTTCCTTAGTGGCAGTGCCTGTAACTCAAGATTTCTTACAACATATGAATGACAAATACTGCAGTGTTGTCTTTTTGAAACAAATTCAAACTGTGAAGGGAAAAGTCTTTTTTAAAACCTCTTTCTTGGAATAATACCAAAGTTTCATTTGCTTTCTAGATTTAGAATATAGAACAACAATAAGAAAGGAAACGTCTTGTAGTGAAAACTGCATATGTGCCTGAGAAACTTAGATGTACTGACTTTTTTTTATCTGTTAGGTTTGTATAATATCCAAAGAAACACAGTACTTTTTTTCCTACTTAATGAAGATTGGCAGTGCCAAATCATTTGTTTGTTACATACTTTTTCCTTTCTTTGACAAAACCTGTGCAATGCAACTTTATCTTCAGCATCGGGATAGTGCTGTCTCTGATTAAAAAGGTGCAAAAGATCATTACTTTGCTGCCCTGCTAAACCAAACTGGGAATTTCAGATTTCTTAATATTAGGGAAATAAGTCCCAAACTATGACTAGATGCAAGCAATTTTGATTATTAAGAAGTATTCTTTCATTTTCACATCACATAGGTTAGACATGATGAATGTGGATGGTCCAAAGGTGACCATTCTGCATCGAATTACCTATCTGTAAATATACTACTTAAGTGTTTAATTTAGTCGTCACTGTTGTACACTCTGTTGATGCATTGCCTTCTTTTTTTTCAGGGTTGAATCCCACCAGATTTCGAATAGGTGACCAGGAGTTTGATTCTTTGCCATCTTTACTAGAATTCTACAAAATACACTATTTGGACACTACAACATTGATAGAACCAGTTTCCAGATCCAGGCAGAATAGTGGTGTTATCCTCAGACAGGAGGAGGCCGAATATGTGCGAGCTCTCTTTGACTTTAATGGAAATGATGAAGAAGATCTTCCATTTAAGAAAGGAGACATACTGAAAATCCGGGATAAACCTGAAGAGCAATGGTGGAATGCAGAAGACAGCGAAGGAAAGAGGGGAATGATACCTGTTCCTTACGTCGAGAAGTATAGACCTTCCTCTGCTTCAGTATCTACTCTGATTGGAGGTAACCAGGATAGTTCCCACCCACAACCACTGGGTGGGCCGGAGCCAGGGCCCTATGCCCAGCCCAGCATCAACACTCCGCTCCCTAACCTTCAGAATGGCCCTATTTATGCCCGGGTTATCCAGAAGCGAGTCCCTAATGCCTACGACAAGACAGCCTTGGCTTTGGAGGTACATAATGGGCAAAACTTAGAAGGAAGAGATCTGTTCAAGGGCTTTCCCTTTCAATCACATTATAATTTTTGTAGGAATAAGAAAGAAAAATATTGTTATACTGATTTTGCATCATGATTAATAAGTTACAGATAAAATTTTGTTTTGGAAATTAATAAGTGATTAGCAAAGAGTTTGATTATTATAGACTGTTTAGCTGGTGAATCAATATCCTGTCTTTTGTCAAGCATCACTAACATAAGTGTTTCCATCCATGTTTTCACTTCTAAAGTCTTTCTGTTTTATGGGGGAGGGAGAGGGAGTGGTGTGGTATGTCTAAGCCTATGTTTACTGTTGATTGCCTCACCCCAGTCTTTAAAAGGTGTGCTCATTTTTTTTCTCCTATCTCAGATAAGTGTGGTTTAAAAGCAATCACTGGAAGCATTGATAGGTCTCTTTAAAATTACACAAAGATGACGAGGATCACACTTGAGTTTTATAGTAACACCTTGACCTCAAGCAAAAAGTTGCATTGTTTTTAGTTTGTTGAGCATACATTACAACTCATTAGGGAGGTCTCCTGTAAAGCAGTGATTGATGGAGTATGATTTGTAATAAAATGGTGAGTTTTCCTAAGATTGATTCACTTCCTCATACAATTAAATCCTTGTACATGCCCTTTTTAATATTTCCTCTTAAAAGGGGAATAGAGTGCTCTATCTCTACACATCAGATAGTTATCCCTCAAGTCACATTTGAGGAAATTGAATCTAAGGTATTCTCAGTGGCAGACCTTTCCCTTAGGATGATATGTAAATTGTATCCTTTAATCTAGGCTTTCTTTGAGCTAAAGGCTCTGGAATTTCCTGATACCTAATTGACTTCCTGTTTATATAACATTTTAAGTACTTGGGAAAACAGTTTCTGTGCTGAGTCAGAGTATCTCCCCTCCAGTCTCAAAATACTTAGTTTAATTTTTCTTAGTATAAAATGCATATTGGTACTTCAGAGCAGTGATAAGTATATGTACATCTCTTAAGTACAAAATTAGCAAAAGTAGAACAATGTATTGATCTTTAGCTCATGAGGTATAAAGTTGCTTTGTATTGCAAGCATAATTTGTATAGGCATCAGTGTGACTACAGTCTGAGTTACTGTATGTTCTGTTTGTTACATTTCTGAATCAAAAGGATTCAGTACTTTTGGGGGATTAAGAAGTGTGCATTGATATTCATGCCAACTCACATGATTTTGTACGAACATACGAAGATTAACTCTTGGACTTTCAAACAGCCTAAAATGACCTCTTTTTACCTCTCTCCTTTTTTAACCTCACTGTCCTAATCCAGCTGTCTCCTGGAGTTTGGAAACACCCCTGAAGTTTTCATGGGGACTGTTACAATTACCAAGTTTTAGGTTTTGCTTAAGATTTTGGAGATCATGTCTCGGCATATTTATCAAAATCTTTTGTTTTTTTTTTCTGGATTTTGTTTTTAAGCTTTTATTGACTCCTTTGCTTTCACATAAAGCAGAACCTCAGCAGAATACTCCCACTTGTCTTAAACAAGTGAAAATGGAAGTCTTTACCCCCTGAAGAGCAGCTTTTTACTGCCACAGCTGATCTTCTGTTATCCTAGTCCTCTTATCAACTCTCACGTTCTGTCAATTATGTTGTGCTTGGAACGTCCAGTTTCATGGAGAGCATCACTAACTTGTATCTCTAGTGTCTTTTACTGGCTTGTGCTGATCAGCTTGAAGTGTTTGACAGGAAGTCAAATGTGTGGACTCTGTTCATATCCTGACTCTGTCAGGATGTAAGTAAAATTTATACTGTCTTTCTACCTTTGTACTGGAGCAATGCCCTTTGTAGAGCTTGCAGACTTAAATACCTATTTGCAGACTTAAAGATTTGTATTTTTTTTTTTACAAATCTTACAAATTGAGGTGGTTATCACTGTTTCTAATAGACCTTCCTAGCTTTCCTGCTCTCTTTATCACTTAAAATTATAATGTTAGAGAGTTGCTTTCAAAGTACCGTACTGGGGTGGGCGAAGCAATGTGCACTTCTTTCTCCGAATATTTCTTCATCCGGTCTGTCTAACTACTGTTCTATGTTGTCTCCTCCTTTTTTCACATTTTCTTTCACTTCGTGGCATACTTGAGATCTTTCTTAGATGCCTTAGTAGAAAGCGCTATGTAAGTTTTGTCAGTCCATTTTTGCCAAGGCCTCTTAATAATTATAAATATAGAACTTTTTTTTTTTTTTTCCAAAATGAGAATCCTTAATTTTAAACCTGCCAGTATCTAGAGGTGGAGGTGGAGCACACTGGTTTTAGGCAGATAGGTCCTTCACATCAAACTTTTTTTTTTTTTTTGACCAAACTACAAAGAGCATATCTGTACTGTTCCATTAGGTTAAAGCTGACATAGTTTCAAAGAGCTAAGGATGGGGGATCAGAGCAAATGATGTTCTAATCAAGGCTGTGCTGCATTATGGGAAAACCCATTTAACATTTTTATCTTTTATTTGAGTTTTTGCTTGTAACTAGACCTATTCAAGGAGCTTCCAGAGTCTGTTTTTACTTAAGAGGAAGAAAAAAAGTATCAGTGTGGTAGATGACTTGAAAAATATCTTGCCTTTTTCACTACAGTATTTAAGAGTGTATTTTCTTTGTAACAGTAGTAGAACTCTGCCATTTTGACCTTACCAAAGAGGGGTACCTGCAATAAAACTACTGCATAGGGAAGGCTTCACATAAAGTTTTGTTTTGCTTTGAAACATATGGGATATATTTAGTTTTACAATTTCGGATGAAGATAGGGATCAATCTGACCATGTAGCAGAGTGCAAGTGCTTTCCTGATGAGCTGTGCTTGCTGGAATAATGCACAATAGACTAAGGATACTGTAAGTCAACATTAAAATTAAGGAGAATTCAGTGGAACAGCTGTCTGATCTAAAAGCAGAAAAGTTTTGCAATTCCAATAAGTTATACTTTTGCTGAAAACTGTACCTAATCTTCAGGAGAGTATCTGAAATGCAAAGTAGCATATGGTGTTTCAAACTAGATCTAGAAAGGCCTGTAAGGAAAATTACTCCAAAAATAAATTAAAAAGAAGTTTCAATTCCAGTAATGATGGAAATGAAAAACATTAGGAGGAATGCCTCTGTGACAAAGTTAAAGCAATGAATGTATTTAGATTTTTTTTAATTTTTGCTATAAATAAAAATAAAAATAATTGAAGTAATGTGATAAAAGATCTATTTTGAAAAAAGATAACTCTTCTAGCTTGAAAAATAATACAATACAGGATCACTCCTCTGGCACAGATATTGGCAGGCATCACTTTAATCATTGATGTTACCTGGATATCTGTTGGTCTAGCTGGATGGGATGACAAGCTTTTTTGTCGGGTTGGAACTTACATTTTGGAAGCTCATGCAAGGATTATATTCAGATCTGAAATATTTTAAAATTATTTAGCATAGTATTCTTGTAATAGTTGTGATTAGGAAACACAGTTGATGTATTGTTTTGCTAAATGGACTTTTTCCTTGGTGCAAAACTCCCAGTGATTAGCAGCAGTAGCAAAATTATACGTAGTGCATGCTTAGGTTCATGAAGAACAGAACCAGCATGTAGTAGTCGAGAAAAGCTTCATTTTTGCCTGTAGCAAACACATAAGAGATTTTTTTTTCCAAATCTGATTCATGAAAGTGTCTATACCGATGTTTACAAAAAATAAAGCAAGACAGCGAGAGTCTCCAGTGTACCTCTCATCACTGGATGAGTAACCTCAGAGGCACAGGAGATTAATTAAATGCCCGTGTAGTGTTTTGAATTTATGAATTGTTAAAAGCTGTTCTGGCAAAAGATTTCAAATGATTAAAACCTGTAAAGCTAATAGACTAACATTTTAATTTGTTTTCCTTGTTCTTCTCTCACTGCCTGGAAGGTGAGAATAATGAGATTCTGTCTTGGGTCACAGTGTTGAGCATCTTTGTAACTAGCGACTGAATATTCAGTGAATCTTTGGATGAAATGCAGTAAGGCTTGAGGACATGCCCTGAGAATTTATTTATAGTTTTATGAAATTAAAATGGAGAGTATAACTCTCTGTAGCGTTCTGCATCCTGTGACCTGGGAAGTGTTCTGAAAACCTTTCTGTGTTATCTTGTAAATAAGAGTATTGATTAGATTCTGCATGCAGGGGAAGAAATGCAGTTGGTTGGACGACTTTCAAAATTAAAATTGAGGAACTGTTTAGCTTCCAGATATACTTTGTACACCTGAAAACCACTCCATCTTAATGAAATTGCTTATCCAGTACAAGCAGAATACAGACTTCTATCAATTCTGGCAAATCCATTTATTGTGATGGAGACTGATCAGTCAAGTCTCAAGGGTCCTAAAAGGCTCTAAAAGTTGGTATTGGCTTGCAGATTTTCAATTTAGGTAGTTCTCACTTAAAATATATGTGCTACTTTCTCTTCATACTCTCTTCATGAGTGAATAACATAAGATAGCCTGGTGTATTAAAAATGGTTAAGACTAAAATTCCTTTTTTTATAGAAGTATCTCTTGATGTACTTGGGACATAAGACTCCAGAGGGAAGGGTAGCAGATCACTCTATGTGTTTTTATGCTCTAACACTTACTTATTTCTTATTCTACAGGTCGGTGAGCTTGTAAAGGTCACAAAGATTAATGTGAGTGGTCAGTGGGAAGGAGAATGTAATGGTAAACGTGGTCACTTTCCATTCACACATGTCCGCCTGCTGGATCAACAGAATCCTGACGAGGACTTCAGCTGAGTGTGGCTCAACAGTTTCGCTTACAGATGGGAACAATCTCAACTTGTTTTAATGCAGATGCCATCAAGACTATGTTCCGACAGATGTTGAAAGCGGTATTGCTTGTATAAGCATTCTGATGATAACCTGCAAACCCCTGGGACTGAACACCACCATTCCTTAATCAAGGGTCATGTAATTCAGGGTACGACAGTAGATAACTTGTGTGTCAAGTGGCAGAACTAGTACATGATTATAGGTTGTAATGCCTGCTTATGTCCACGAGCACAGCAGCCTGGACCTTGCCAGCAGCAGCAGTTGGAGAAAGCAGTAACATAGATGTTATTACAGCGTTTATAGCTCTCTCCAGTTCTGTTTCTTGTGTTGTTCTTCCTCAGGCAATAAACATCAACCTTAGACAATTCAATGTGTAGGTAGAAATTTCACAAATTTATCCTGGAGCTTTCTCCATTTTTTTTTCCATTCTGAATTCTCTGTCCTAGAAAGGCTATGTGTAGTACTCCGCATGGTGAGTTAACTGCACATATTACAGATTTTTTGAAGCACATTGGGGACAGCTATATGATTTAGAGATGCTTACCATTTTAATGGTAAATGACAGATCAAATCAACCTCAGAATTCTGTAAGTTTGTGGACACTAGATGTGATTTTTTTCAGTACTGTTGATGCTTCAAACATAGCAGCTGTTTTAAATTAAAATTTTTGATAATACAGCAGTATCTCTCTTATCCACAAATATAAGGCTTATGGAAGTGTAAACATCCATATCAGTGCTGAAAAATGTGCACTTTAATGCATAGCTTTAAAGCAGTGTTTGATTCACTAAGTATACTAAAATATTGGCACTGCTTTCAGATAAAATTAAATTAGGTAGGGCTGGTTTAATATTTTTAGAATTTTTCAATATTCCTCTACATTACAGTAAAAATCAGCGTCAGACATGATGAACTGACAAACCAAATATTGCTTTTATTTTAAAGTTACTCTGGGGGCTCTACTGGTTTAATTCCCATTTGTAAAAATATCTGATAGTTAATTCATGAGGATTTTATTTTTAATAAACTAATGAAAAATACCTGTGTGCTTCTGGATTGATTCTCAAAAGGCATAATAGAATAATTACAGCTTCATAGTTCATAATGAAAATCAGTGCATTGAATAGTGATATTGTGCACTGCTTGATTTGCTTTCTCAGCCTGTTCTTCTAATTATCTGGTTTTCTCTATTATAAATCAGAATGGATTCAGTAAGTTTTGTAAACTAAAATTAAACACTGAAGTAACTATCCCTCGCCTGTACCTATATACAGCACTCTAGTGACCAAACTTAAGCAAATCAGTTTTGTAACTCTGACTGCATTGTAATCCATACAGAACAGTTTTTGTAAATAGTATTAAACCAAAAGCATTTTTTTTGGTTGATAGAAACCACGTGACTAGAATGTCTCATTGGCTGTAAATGCTGCGGGGACTAGTTCTCACTGCAAAGGCTATTGCTGCAAGGCATGAACCCCTAAAACAGAATACTGGTAACACTTTACCTCAGAACTGTGTAACATGCTGGAAATAACACTTGCGATATTTAAGTACTAGTTGTTTTACTTCAGAACTAACTCGTCAGCAAGTCTGACCAATTTTCAGGTAATGGGCACCCAATAATACTGTAGACTAACGCCAGTGTACATGAATTGTACTTTTCTATCACCAATATCCTAAGCACTACAAAAGATTATTAGAAAACTGACAGTGGGTCTGTTTTTTTGTGGCAGTGTTCTAAGAAGAATGGTAACAGGGTAATTGCAGTACTGTTCTAGCTTGGAGTGCTATTCTGGTTAATATGATATGCCGGTCTTCAAGTGTGGGATCACTTTCAGCTTAGTACAAAGTCTACTTTGGAGAAAAATTGAGGAACTAACTCTAAGTTCAGTAACACATTGATTTTTGTAAGTCTAATTTGTATTTTTCCTCTGACTGATATTTAATGCAATTTAATTTTCAATAGTCATAGTTGTTAAATACAGACTTGCATACTAAGCTTATCAGTTTGCCCATATATGCTTATATTTTTCTTCAGGTATTGCATAAGCAGCCTAATGAACTGTTCTTCAAATAACATGGTTTACTCTGAAGGATTTTTTTTTCCAATCACAATTATTCAAAGCCCCTGCATTTGTAACTTTCCAATCAGCAGTTAAGATACCAAAACTTTTTTTTTTTCCTGAAAGTAATTTTATTATGCAAGTCTTTCATTTTTACTATAAAAAATGAAATGTTAACTAGCAGATACCCAGAAAACTTGGCAGGGTTTTTTTTTTTTTTTTGGTGAAGACTGTATAAATTGCAAATATTTGTATACTTTGAGAGAGAGAAAAAAAATAGAGTCTTAATAGCTGCTGTTGCACTAGAATTCAAAGTTCTTGTCAAGCAGTTTTTCTTAGTCAGCTGGTACATTATGCAACCGTTTTCCACTATTCTGTTTTAAGCTGAGATGTGATTTTGTTTCATAGGTGATAGAAATTACTATGTTTGCTTTTGTACGAAATAGACATTTCAACTTATTGAGCTCTTAAAAGGAAATAGGTAGAACATACGTTCATAAACGTGTAGACGAAATCCTCTTGTGGCCTTTGTTTCTCCTCTTCTATTTGTTCCTTCTCCCCAATGCGTGCAAAAAATCATTGCTCAGAATGTTGGTCACAATCTTTTGTCTCTACTTGGCTGTGTTTTTTTGGTCTATTGTGCATAGGCAGGTGTTAGAACTAGAATAATCATTTCTAGGAACACCGTGAAAGCAGAATGCTCAATTACACTGTGTTCTTCTGGTGCATTTACACATTATATCACACTAAAAGTACAACTGGCTGCTATGTTTTTTTTAATATATATTTCATTTTGGTAAACCCCAGCCTTTTTACTAATATTTGACCTGGTTAAATCTTGTTAATCCGTTTGAATTGTATTTGTTAATAATGCAAATATTTCTAATCATGTTAAGAATAAAACACTTTTTTTTTAATGGTTTTGAGGAAGGATTCTAACCAAACCAGTTTGAAGAAAAATATGAACATGTGCCATTGTATTATAACACTATCCACTTTCTTGACAGTTCAAGTCTTTTTTTTTATTTTTTTGTAGCATGTAATGTATATGTTCATAGTACGTGAAGTAAATAAAAGTATAGCCAAAACATTGTCCTTGTCATTCAGCTACCATTAGAGTATTTGCATTTAATAATATAGAAATACAACGGTTGTCTCTAGTTTTAAATGCCCCTACTTGTATGAAAACAACTAAGCATAATACTTGCAGAAATAAGATAAACCAAGATGACTAACAAAAAGTATTAACTCATTTGCAAATGAGAATTCATAGTGTTGCTGGTGTATCAGAAGATAGTGTTGGGCTTCTTTGGATGGGGAGTGTCAGTGTGGAAATATGAAATGCTTCCTATCCAATATTTGAATTATCAGCAGAAATGAGCATTTAAGTATACAAATAGTGGCAACAACTTTCTCATATAAGCATTTACTACTGGTTTAACAGGGTTTCTTTTCAGTTGTGATAGTGGGAGAGTAAGGTTTCAATGAAAGATTAAGAGCTGTGGTGCCGTGTCAGGGGATGAAGTCCATAGAAAATGAGGAATAGGTCTGATCTCCCATGTGGGAGGACATTTCAAACATGCCCCTGTGTTAGACCTGCTTTTCCCACCAGTCCTTAAAAGCTGCAAGGGGAAGAGGCCTTCAGGCCCCCAACAATGAGAATCAATTTAGCTGTAAAACCATAAAAAAAAAAAGTTCTAGAAACATACTGAAAAAATGGAAAGATGTCTGTAATGGTGCTATTACTCTCCAATATCTAAAAAAACAGGCAGTTTGAACTTGTGGTGTTCCAAAGAACAGTTCTAGCTTCCCTGCACCACTTAGCTCTGCACTTTGAGCCATGGTTAATTATGGACCAAAATAAATTACATTTGAGGTATTCAAAATCCGTCCAAGCATTTGGCCTTCTGGAGGTGATCAACTGCCCCTTGCTGCCTGGAAGCTCCTTTGTTCAGTCTTCTATTTAAAACTATTTGTAAGAAGCTCTACTAAATATTCCCATTGAAACTTTATTTACTTCATTATCGTTTTTTTTTTTTTCTAAAAGAATCTGAAGAGTAGCCTTTATAATGTTAGCACTGCAGTTAATAGTTTTCCTCGCTTATAAGCAAAAGGACAGCATTTCTCTTGGTCACAATATCACAGTGATGACTTCTTATATCTTAAGTTGATTCATACCCAGTTAGCTGGCTAATATAGATAATTTTCTCAGTCAATACTGCGTGGCATAGTCTTCAAGTGGAAATTTAAGTGAGTGACTGTTTTTAATCATACTGAGATGCCAACTACATTTCCTTGTAATGCCTCTATCATCTCCAGGTGGTAAATTTTCATAGGTTGCAGTTCTGCCCCAATTTTGCTGCAGTGTTCTTCTAGTTTGGCTGCAGGAGAACTGAAACCAAAGCCTGCCTTTTAATGGCATGACCTGGGATAATTTAACACCTCAACACAGCAGGAGGGCAGAGGTCCTGTGCCCCTATCCACACATCCCTGAGTGCCATGTCCTGATTCTTAACATGGACCAGTACTTTGCCTGTTTTCTTTGAGCTGATGTCTCAGGACGTGCACAGAAAACTCGTGCCTCTCCTTCCTCGTCTGCCTCCTCCTGGCGATGATTTTCCACTGCAGTAGCAATTGAATCAACTCGTGTAAAGGTTGCTGCTGCAAGGGACGAGGCAAAGATTGCAGCCGGAAATTCTGCTTGGATCGTTTCCCTGCATTATACTGTTTACTCCTAATGCTCCAACAAACCCCTGACCACTTTCCAAACATTTGTGTGCCCTCTGCAACTAGTGCATTCAAAAATATTTCAAGCATCCAATAATATGCTACAATTCGGCAAGATTATCTTTTTTTTTTCACTTTTAGCAAATAAGTATTCTTAATGTGACCTGGTTTATTTGCACCATTAAGCGCCACATAACTTGAGTACCTACTCAAATAAGGATCACAGAAAAGACACCAAATGTGATCCAAGTCTAATTTCTTGTGCAGAGCTCCCACGCAAAGTCTCAGCTGCTGAAAAAAAAAAAAAAAAAACAAGCTTTTTATGGCCAGGATTTCTGAAGCGTAAAGGTGATTTGCAAGTCAGACACTCAGTGAGTTTTTGTATATTCACCCAAATAGATCATGACTCTGTGGTGCTGGACTCTTCTCTATGTCTTCCAGAAGCCTTGAGAATTGTACCTCATAGTTACAAATATCTCGGAGGTAGAGATATATAATGGTTTCCAATTCCTCAATTTCAGGAAAAAAAAA